TTTTCTGTCCAATCTTTAAAAACACAGATAAAAGTGCTGAGTATCAAAGAGAAGGAAAAAGAGGAGAAATATGCTAATCTTATGAAAAGGTGCAACATAGTGTGTTCATTTTGCTTCATTTTATGCCCCAAAATATATATCTTCAACTATCCATATAAAAATAGCTATTTTTTTTGGAAAAGTGCTGCACCTTAAAATCCTCTCTCTAGTTAGAACACTTTTAGCCACAATTGCTTCTTTTATTGCTTCCTTGTTCTTAAGAATAGCACACACATTGAATTTGGCATCTTATACACGGCTCAATTTATTGCAAAGAATGAAAGCACACATTTACCACTTTAATGTTTCACAGCAAGTTCCTTTCACACCTCAATAATTGATACAACCACCTTCTTCTTAGGCTTCATTGCTTCCACACACTTCTTGGATGCCATGATTAATAGGTAAGGGTTATATATATACATATATAATAATATTTGGTTATATATATAACCAGCGCTTTTTTATCATAGAATGCAATGGAACGATGTTCCACCACCTTTTTTTCGATATATTTTAAAAGTTTTACGAAAATTTTTGAAAATTTGATGTTTGGTCCGCATTGAATCACTCTGTTGAGCATAGAAGATAGGCAACAAAATTATTAAGATGGTCCTGGTCCTGGTCCTGCTTGTGTGCCAAATCTTGTGTACAATGCATGTAATATATTTTTAGTAATGAGTTCAGCATTCCACCACTTTTCCCCCCCCAAAAAAAAAGCACTGTATATAACCAAATACACAAATATAAAGCAATAAAAGCACTGAAAACACACAAGCATAATACAAGAAATGCTTTCACAGGTGAGGGTGAGAGTAAGACACAACTTTGGTACATAACAGATGGTGTTTATGTAACACATAGAGTTCTTTTAATTTTAACATTAAAACTCTGGAACATTTGAAGTACCACTGTACTGTACATAGAAATTCTTTCACAAGTCTTTTCACAATATGAAATGTAAAACACAAGTCTTTTACATTTCATATTGTAATTACTGCAAAATAAAATAATGTTATACTTCAAAATATTTATATTCATACTATTTTACATTACATTTTGGTTTTTTTTTATGAATAAATTACACATTTCAATGTATAATAAGTATTCTTAACTTCATATATTTACCATATATTTTATTTATATTTATATTATTGTTTCTTTTATTACATAGTTAACAGCATGATTAATATTGAACATATGCTTCAGTTTGATTATTTGCAATATAAAAAAACCTTGTAAATATATGTTTTATATTCTTAAATTTTTTATAATTGCATGTTTCTTTGTTGTTTTTAGTGTTTTTCTTTTATTTTGTATATTGTTGGTTTGGGATTTAACGTTGATACAACGGAAAGGAAATCTGTTGTCCTATTGTAAATAAAATAAAATTAAAAAAATAATAAATTTATTCTCTTAATAATTTTGAAATTTTTTATTACTTTTTTCATGAAATTATCTAAAAGATGCAATAAAACAATATTAATTCTAATGAACAGATGTTAAATGGAATCAGACAAAAATTATTTAATTATGAACTTTCAAACCCAATTTTTGACAGATCTAGTGAAATAAGAGAAACAATTAAAGATACATAGAAATTACTGTTTTCTTGGAGATATGTATGTATAAATATTTTATTTTTAGCTTTTGCAACTAATGTAAATGAGCTATTTAGTTTTATTTACAAGGAGTTAGCTATAACAACAAAAAAGTTAACTTTTAGTTTTAGTTTAGTTATGTTTGCATATTACTTTGAACATAAATAAAAATTCAATATTTCAAACAACAATTTGTGGTTTGGAAAAGTGTTATGATTTTGAAAGTTAATTTTTTTTTCTATTTGTATTATATTTTTAATTCAAAAAACTTTTAAAAAGTTACAACTTGAAACATATATTTAATTAAAGAAGTAATCCTGGTTTTATGGCATTTTGTTTAATTTATATATCAACAAGAGGAATTTATTTATTGTTAATACATATTTTAATCTATTTTTACTTGTTAATCTGTCTCTTAGAAGCTTAAAATTTCTGGAGCCACAGTATTTCATGTCATCTCAGTGAAATATTGGAAATAGTTTTCAACTAGCAATAATTGCACCTCAGATAAACCTCACTGACTATGTGACTATGATATCACCTCTGTGAAAAGCATTAGCTATTTTAATAATCATCATCATTTTATTTAAAAAAAAAATATTAGAATATCAAAATGACACCCACGCACTTCTCTTGATTATTTCATCTCTTTTTAGTAAGTATTGCTTCCTTCTTTGTTCAAACCGTTCTTCTTTTATTTGCAATGATCGTAGTTTTTGAGCCAAATCATATCGTGAAAAATGTTCTATTTCAATCTGATCTTTACCATCATGATCTTTCTTATCTAATTCATTACTTGCCTCTTCTATCTGGTAATACAGAAATCAGAATTATTTTAAATCAAATTTCATTAAACATTACTGGTTTAAAGTGTCTTATTGAAATTATTCAAAATTTAGTTTAAATATAATCATTATTAAAAAGAAAATGAAATGACCAAAATCCAAAATTATACTATAAATTCAATATTTCTGACTTGTGTTCCAGTATTATAAATGATATTCTACATATATTATATAAAACAAAGAAAATTTTTAAAAATTTATACCGATATATTGTATAATCAAATGATTTCATTGTTTGTATATATAAAGTTCCCTATGTTTTAAATTTTAGTGTAACTTGTGAAAACTGTTCATATATACAGGTAGCCCTCAGTTTACACTGCAGTTCCATTCCTACAAAAGCTGGCACAAATCAAATTGGTGTAAAATGAACCCACATTTACAGTGAGATATAGGGTTAGATTCTACATAAGTAAAAAATAAGCAAATAATTTTGTTTATTAATACAATATAATGCAAAATACATATAAATTTAATTTTTAAAATGTATTTTATCATAAAATAAAGTGAAATGTTTTTATTAAAAAATTTTAGTTTCAGATCTCTTACATTTTTCGGAAAAAGTATCCATCTTTAATTGTTTATACAGTAGAGCGTCATTTATCTGAAAGTCAGTTATCTGAAATGTCGGTTATCCGAAAGAATTCCAGTCAGCAAATTTAAATTTTCGCTAGTGCTGTGGCGCTGCAATCTTTGGCTATATCTTAGGCTACTCCAATATTTTTTATGTTTGTGTGTGTTTTAGCTGGCAGCACTGTCACTTTTGTGTGGTGTTTTTTTGAGGATTGTGTCATGCTGAATCGAACGTTTTTGCTACTAGATAACTTCTAAAGTATAATTTTTTTTGTTTTTATATTTTTCACTATATTTATTTTGTTTGTAAAAAATAAAGGAATAATTTTTAACGATACAATAGCCAAGATTATTATTTTAAAAAGTTTACGTTAGGCTTAACATCGACGAAAATTCAACGCAAAGCAACACGCAACGGAGAAAAATTTCAACACGGGATAGGTTAATGTATTTTTTCGTACATAATCGGTTATCCGAAAAATAAGTTATCCAAACAACCCCAGTCCCCAATTGATTCGGATAAATGACGCTCTACTGTATTTTTGTTTTCTTTCATTAAGAATTTCGAAATATGATCAAATGGATATGATGATGCTCCTTTTTACATTTGCACTTCGCTCCCAATCATTGTCTAACTCACAAAGTTCATCCATCAAACTTTCCATAGTTGAAAGGATACGCTTTAGATTGACTGTTTTCATAATTCTTGGAGTTTCTTCTTTGTCATTCTTCTGTAGCTCTATGTCGAGTCCGCAGCTCATTCAAATCTAACAGTTTGTGAAACATTCTCTATTGGTCTAAATCTGACCAATAGAGAATGACCAATAGAGAATCCCAACAAGCCACAATTCTACCACAACACATGGTGTCGTAGTGGACTCGTGCCTCACTAGGATTGGTCAAATCTGGGAAAAATCTAGTCAAATCTAGCATAGGGAAAAATCGGGGAATTACATAGTGAAACGGTAAATTGTGCAGCAGCATTATTGTGAATCAGCATTAATTGAACTGGCATAAACCAAGGGCTACCTGTATTTATACGAGGTGTATAGTTTCAAAAACAGCACACACCACTTTTTCTGAACATAAGAGCTGTGAATGTGGCTGATTTTAAAACTAATCTGCAAATTTTTATCTCATTTTTAATCCCTTCCTGCTGTTTTTGGCTAGATTTGAAAATTATAATAATCAACATTGAAAAGAGCAGAAAAATAAATAAAATTTAGTGCTTAGTTAATTCCTTTAAAAGACTGACTAAGCCACTTTTGGAACTATGCACCTCATATATATATACTAAATTATTGATATATTGGTTCAATAAAAAATTTAAATGTTTCCTCACATTTGAGATATTAATTTCTAGGACATAATGAAATATATGATAATCCTACTTCATTACAAATAAGATAAAATACCATAATTTAATGTGGAAATCTTATGGTTTATCTGTGTTTAAAAAGCAATTTGAAAATGATAGTTCATGTTATCTGCTGATTTTAACATGCAATTATGAACTTATCAAACAGTTTCTTTTGTCAAAAGTCATAGAACAACTTTAGAAATACAAAAACTCCACTGCATGCCACAGACATAACTANTTTAACATGCAATTATGAACTTATCAAACAGTTTCTTTTGTCAAAAGTCATAGAGCAACTTTAGAAATACAAAAACTCCACTGCATGCCACAGACATAACTATCTACCATTGCAATTTTTCCCAAATTTACTGAAGGTGCATATACTGCAGTGTTTCTCAACGGGGGCGATATCGCCCCCATTGAAATATTGGAAATAGTTTTCAACTAGCAATAATTGCACCTCAGATAAACCTCACTGACTATGTGACTATGATATCACCTCTGTGCAAAGCATTAGGTATTTTAATAATCATCATCATTTTATTTTAAAAAAAAATATTAGAATATCAAAATGACACCCACGCACTTCTCTTGATTATTTCATCTCTTTTTAGTAAGTATTGCTTCCTTCTTTGTTCAAACCGTTCTTCTTTTATTTGCAATGATCGTAGTTTTTGAGCCAAATCATATCGTGAAAAATGTTCTATTTCAATCTGATCTTTACCATCATGATCTTTCTTATCTAATTCATTACTTGCCTCTTCTATCTGGTAATACAGAAATCAGAATTATTTTAAATCAAATTTCATTAAACATTACTGGTTTAAAGTGTCTTATTGAAATTATTCAAAATTTAGTTTAAATATAATCATTATTAAAAAGAAAATGAAATGACCAAAATCCAAAATTATACTATAAATTCAATATTTCTGACTTGTGTTCCAGTATTATAAATGATATTCTACATATATTATATAAAACAAAGAAAATTTTTAAAAATTTATACCGATATATTGTATAATCAAATGATTTCATTGTTTGTATATATAAAGTTCCCTATGTTTTAAATTTTAGTGTAACTTGTGAAAACTGTTCATATATACAGGTAGCCCTCAGTTTACACTGCAGTTCCATTCCTACAAAAGCTGGCACAAATCAAATTGGTGTAAAATGAACCCACATTTACAGTGAGATATAGGGTTAGATTCTACATAAGTAAAAAATAAGCAAATAATTTTGTTTATTAATACAATATAATGCAAAATACATATAAATTTAATTTTTAAAATGTATTTTATCATAAAATAAAGTGAAATGTTTTTATTAAAAAATTTTAGTTTCAGATCTCTTACATTTTTCGGAAAAAGTATCCATCTTTAATTGTTTATACAGTAGAGCGTCATTTATCTGAAAGTCAGTTATCTGAAATGTCGGTTATCCGAAAGAATTCCAGTCAGCAAATTTAAATTTTCGCTAGTGCTGTGGCGCTGCAATCTTTGGCTATATCTTAGGCTACTCCAATATTTTTTATGTTTGTGTGTGTTTTAGCTGGCAGCACTGTCACTTTTGTGTGGTGTTTTTTTGAGGATTGTGTCATGCTGAATCGAACGTTTTTGCTACTAGATAACTTCTAAAGTATAATTTTTTTTGTTTTTATATTTTTCACTATATTTATTTTGTTTGTAAAAAATAAAGGAATAATTTTTAACGATACAATAGCCAAGATTATTATTTTAAAAAGTTTACGTTAGGCTTAACATCGACGAAAATTCAACGCGAAGCGACACGCAACGGAGAAAAATTTCAACACGGGATAGGTTAATGTATTTTTTCGTACATAATCGGTTATCCGAAAAATAAGTTATCCAAACAACCCCAGTCCCCAATTGATTCGGATAAATGACGCTCTACTGTATTTTTGTTTTCTTTCATTAAGAATTTCGAAATATGATCAAATGGATATGATGATGCTCCTTTTTACATTTGCACTTCGCTCCCAATCATTGTCTAACTCACAAAGTTCATCCATCAAACTTTCCATAGTTGAAAGGATACGCTTTAGATTGACTGTTTTCATAATTCTTGGAGTTTCTTCTTTGTCATTCTTCTGTAGCTCTATGTCGAGTCCGCAGCTCATTCAAATCTAACAGTTTGTGGAACATTCTCTATTGGTCTAAATCTGACCAATAGAGAATGACCAATAGAGAATCCCAACAAGCCACAATTCTACCACAACACATGGTGTCGTAGTGGACTCGTGCCTCACTAGGATTGGTCAAATCTGGGCAAAATCTAGTCAAATCTAGCATAGGGAAAAATCGGGGAATTACATAGTGAAACGGTAAATTGTGCAGCGGCATTATTGTGAATCAGCATTAATTGAACTGGCATAAACCAAGGGCTACCTGTATTTATACGAGGTGTATAGTTTCAAAAACAGCACACACCACTTTTTCTGAACATAAGAGCTGTGAATGTGGCTGATTTTAAAACTAATCTGCAAATTTTTATCTCATTTTTAATCCCTTCCTGCTGTTTTTGGCTAGATTTGAAAATTATAATAATCAACATTGAAAAGAGCAGAAAAATAAATAAAATTTAGTGCTTAGTTAATTCCTTTAAAAGACTGACTAAGCCACTTTTGGAACTATGCACCTCATATATATATATACTAAATTATTGATATATTGGTTCAATAAAAAATTTAAATGTTTCCTCACATTTGAGATATTAATTTCTAGGACATAATGAAATATATGATAATCCTACTTCATTACAAATAAGATAAAATACCATAATTTAATGTGGAAATCTTATGGTTTATCTGTGTTTAAAAAGCAATTTGAAAATGATAGTTCATGTTATCTGCTGATTTTAACATGCAATTATGAACTTATCAAACAGTTTCTTTTGTCAAAAGTCATAGAGCAACTTTAGAAATACAAAAACTCCACTGCATGCCACAGACATAACTATCTACCATTGCAATTTTTCCCAAATTTACTGAAGGTGCATATACTGCAGTGTTTCTCAACGGGGGCGATATCGCCCCCATGTGGGCGTTTTTCCATGCTGAGGGGCGATTAGTAACAATTTATATTTTGGGGGTGAAAAACAATTTTCTGGGTGATATAGTAAAACATTATATTAAGAATAATTAAATATTTTATTTGTTATATCGTACAAAAATTAAACAAATAACATTATACTAGTCACTAATCTATTCAATGCAGTATGAATTTGGTGTTAGTCTTGGTCCTCGGCATCAGAATTTTGAAGTGAAAGGGGAGATAATAGGTAACAGTTTTATTGAAGGAGCGATACTACGTTGAAGGGGGCAATGATTCGTTAGAGGTTGAGAAACACTGATATACTGTATGAGGGTTGTTAAGAAAGTTTTTGTTTGTGCCAATTATTTTAAGACCACCTTTTAATGTAAGCAAAAACCATAATATACATATGAAAAAGCATATATTGAACTATTTTTCAACAGTCTCCCAAGTTATCCAGAAACTTCTTCCAATATGGCACCAATTTTTGTAAATCAGTGCAAAAGAAATTGGATGATTGCCAATGCAGCCACTCATGCAATGCTTTTTTTCAGACCATATTCATCAAAATGTCACCCCAAGATTATCTTTGAGAGGGCCAAAAACATGATTGTCAGTAAGAGCCAAATTGGGAATAAGGTAAATGACAAAGTATTGGTCCAAGACCAAGAAGCCCGCATGTCAGCAATGATGGCAGCTGTATGCACATAGGAATTGTCATGGAGGTGGATAATCTTGTCAAGAGGCACATCAGGTTACTTTCTTTGTATTGTTGTCCTCAGACATTTCAAAATTTCTTTGTTCTGATCAGCATTGACTGTCTTTCCTGCTGAAAAAAATTCTGCTAGAAGCATCCCTTCAGAATTCCAAAAGATGGTAAGCATCACATTTTTTATGGAGAAAAGTGTTTTGAACTTTTTTGACATAGGAGACATGTGCTTCCAGACCATGCTTTAATGCTTAGTTTCAGGTGTATAAAGACAGATTATGGACTTACCATTTGTCACAATGCCATTAAGAAACCTCTCTCCTTCCTTACAGTAATGCTACAAATTTTCAAGGCAGCAGGCCGATAAATACCCTTGTTGTCATTGGTCAGTATTTTTGAGATTCACCTGAAGGATACTTTGTGGTAATGAAGAGTTTTAGTTACAATGTTATGGATGGTAAAACATTAATATTCACTTCTTCCAATATGTCACAGATGGTAACATGATGTCTTAATAATTGCAGACATGACAAAACATGATTGCATAAACAAGAGCAATCATGTCTGGATTTGCTGAGCTGCATGGCAAACTAGATTGGTCTTTAGCACAAACACTTTTCTGACAATCTAAAAATTGTTATCACCACTACTGTACAGCTCTGAGTGAGAAAGTGTCCTCATCATATGTAGACAGCATTTTCTTGTGAATTTCAGTGAAATTTTGACCTTCAGACTGCAGAAATCTGATAACTCCTTACTGTTCCTTCATTGTGAATGATTCCAAGATAGCTCCAAGTCTGTTGATGAATGCCACAAAATATCAGTCCAACATAGGCAGCTTCCTTTGTTGGACTGATATTTTGTGGCATTCATCAACAGACAACTTACACCATCTAGTTTGAAAAATAGTGAAAAGTATGTTCGTTTTTATGTATATTTGGTTTTTTACCTGTGGTCAAACTTGTGAATGAAAAATCAGTACAAAGACTTTCTTAACAGGCCTTGTACACATGCTTTGTATTTAGTTCTCTCCCATTCATTTTGTGTCATCTATACTTTAATTTATATTATTAGACACCGTTATTTGAAGTTTATTGTGAAAGCTGATAAATTTCCAGAAATTGATTTTGCTTCTGTATGTAATGACTTCATTTCAGAAAACTACTTAGAAACTGTCAATTTTATTGTATATTGCAATGTACATAACCAAAAATAAACCTTCCAAAAAGTAATTTCTAATGATCAGTTGGTCACCAGTGGCCAAGTGGTTCCATTCCCTGAACACTAGGATTTCAGTTGTGGGTTTGTGCCTTGCCAGAATGGACTGGCCACATGGAGTTTTCAGGTTTACTCCATATCTGTAACACCTGAATAGGGGCCAGTTACCCTTAAAAAGACCTCCCAGAAGGCATTCCCATAGCCAGATCGCCCAAGTGTTGTGTTGCAATAACTTAACCATACCAAACCTAATGATCAGTGTATGAATTCCTTATAACTCTTGCTGTCTGTGTCCAATCCAAGTGAAATTTTGCTTATATACTCTTTATTGAGTTCTGTAATATGCTTCTTGTCTAGTCTTGTATTCAATTTTACAAGCTCTATGACAGTTTTTCTTTTCCACTGGTCTAGTGGAAAAGAAAACCTATCACACCTTCAATTAGAAACAGGACAATCTTTAGAAAAATCATCACATTTTTATTTCTCTAGGAAATAAAAATGTGATGATTTTCAAAATTTTAATTAATAAATTTGCAGTAATTCTAACACAAATTATTATTGTATTTATTTTCAGGCACTTGGCAATTTTTATCATCAAATTTTTTATTTAGTTGATTCAACTATTTATTCAACTATTCAACTATTTATTTAGTTGATAAACTAAATAAAAAATTTGATGATAAAAATTGCCAAGTGCCTGAAAATAAATACAATAATAATTTGTGTTTGAATTACTACTAATAACTACTAGCACGGTTTCAAAGTACCATAATAAATTTGCATTTGCCTA